CCTGTAGTCAGCAGTCAGTGTGATAGCACACCCCTCCCAGAATGCAGAGCATTATACCAGGAGACGTGGAAACCACATGCCAGTAGTTGTAATCAGTGGAATAGCCACGTACCATGGGATTGAGGCATGGCCAAGCTTCTCTGTTGAGTTAGTGAGTTTAGTTGTTGGATGAATGTGAGAAGCATTTGTTCACTTTGAAGTCCATCTCAGTTCACTGGTCCCCCCACCTCCATTGGAAAGAACAAGGTGTCTACACACAGCACCTGGTTGAAGACAAAAACGCCAAAAAGACAAAAAGGGCCCAAGCAGCGCAGGGAATGTGGAGCAGTGGCAGTTCCAGAGAAGAACTTTTCTGTACCGCTGTGGACACGTTTTTGAGGGCAGAGGCGTGGACAGGCAGTACATAAAGAACTTGTGAGGTAATTAGTGCTCTACAATCTGCAGGGACTATTCTCCAGGCAAGCACTAGAAAGGAAGTAAACTTCAGGGACCCAATGCAAAATGGAAAAAAGGAGAAGAGCAGAAGGGGCAGGGAGCATGGAACAAGTGAGGGAAAGAAAGGACAGCAAGTTGTTAAAAGAAGGAAAATGCAAAGGAGGAAACCATTCCTGTTGGAGGAAAAAAGCTGCCCTAGTTTAAAAGAAAAGGGTTGGCAGCTGTGTCTCGTCTGAAAAAGAATAGGGAAAACAGATAGTGAACGGAAAGACAGTGGGAGTACCCAGTGCTTCCTAAAACTGAATTACAGCAACAATCCTTCAGCTAGTCCTTTCCATTGTGATTTTCCAGAAGAAAACTCCGGGCATCTCAAAGTTTTGTCAGTATTAGGACAGAAACCTTCATTGCTTTCCCAGCTTCCCTGAAGGATGTTACAGAAATTAAATATTTCTACAGGTTTTTCATGGCTCATTGTTTTATCCAGTTGCTAATCTATGCAGATGTGGAGTTCAAATGGCTATCCGGGCTGCTTCAATGCTTTGCAACAAATGCTTCCCAGATCTACTTGTGGAAAACAGTTGAGCTGATTGCAAGAAAAGAATGCCCTAGATCTGAGAGTAGTGACTCTGTTCTCACTCAGCGTCCTGACTGCAACAGCACCCATCCAGTTTCTTTTCAAGCCACGTGTGTCTCACAGCCTTGAGCGGACTCTCAAGGAAGTTGATGCACAACTACATTGGACATTCCCCCCCTCTTCAATGACTGATGTCTGGAGGGGTTTTGTTTCTTAGTTTGGGGGCTTGCTTCGATCCCAACATTTCTCCTTCCTATTGCATTCTTGTTGGTAGCACTTAGTCCCCTGAAGTTCTCTCTGACCTTGATGGCAACCTCTGGAGGCTTTTAGTTTGTTGTCAATAGAGGAGCTGAAGATAGTTCACTCTCACTAGACACAGTTTGTCTTCTCGGGATTTGCTTTCAACTCTACTACCATATCAAGTTCTAAAGTTTTTTCCTCGAAGGGGTGTGAGTAAAACGATGGCTAAATCCACAGAAATCTTACCTCTTAACTCTGTCAATGCTACATCTTAACTGTGTATTTTCTGTACAATTCTAGGCACGACAGGAACAGGATGCAAAAATGCCTAGAGACCTTCAACGAGGTAATGTGTCATTATGTTAGGAGGGTTTTTAAGCAAAAAGGTGACTATTTCTAACTCTTGACAGCTCTCCAGCCATTTTTTTTCAAGTTCCTGTGAGAAGTAGGTTTTGGGGGTTTTTCTGCCAGCCTTCCAGTTGAGACTGGAATGTGAAAACTTGCTGCTTCCCAAAACGTTGCGTCCAATGCCTGGAAAAAGCCAAGCGCAAAGAAACACTTGGCTGAAGCTGAAGTTGCCCTTCACCAGAGTTGATCTCAAGCACAAACAGCAAAGCAGCCATGAGATAAGATTTTTAAAAGCTTCAGCCATCACTTTCCCTCCCGTGTACACTCATGGCATTCAGCACTAAACCAAACCATCCCCGTTCTTTGCTGTTAGTTCTTGATTTTTGCTAGGATTCTGGGATTCACGGCTTGTCTTGGTAGCTTAGGTGGTGCAGTCTTTCTTGGAATAAGCAAGAAGATCAGTGACAGAAGAGAATCTGTCTTTGGGAAAAGATTATTCGGTCCTTTTTCGGCAAATATCAGTTCAGTGCTTGCCATCCGTAGCATAAAACCTGCTGTAGAATTTGAGGCCAGGTGTCCAAAGAGGCCTGTCCAATGTGGTTTCAGAGCCAACAGGGGGACCACAGACATGGGGTTTGTTCTCAGACAACTGCAAGAGAAGTGTGGGGAACAGAACAGAGGTCTCTCTGGAACCTTTGTTGATCTCACCAAGGCTTTCCATCCTGTGAGCAGAAAAGGTCTGGGGCAGATTTTGGAATGTTTAGATTGTCCCCCAAGTTCCTTAAAATGATCATCTCTCTCCATGAGGATCAGCACGGCCAAGTCAGATATGGCAGTGCACTCTCTGAGCCCTTTCTAAATTCCAATGGTGTGAGACAAGGCAGCGTTCTCGCACCAACCCTATTCACAATCTTTTCCAGAAGGATGCTCCAAATGGCTACGGCAGACCTTGATGAAGAAGGTGGGATCTACATCCCATATCGTACCCATGGAAGCCTTTTCAACCTAAGGCGATTGAAGGCCCACACTAAGACCTTAAACCATCTTGTCCGGGAGCTGCTTTACGCTGACGCCGCCGCCCTCGTGGCTCACACAGTGGCAGCTCTGCAGCGTTTAACATCCTGCTGTGCTGAGGCTGCTGAGCTCTTTGGGCTGGGCGTCAGCTTAAAGAAGACAGAAGTTCTCTATCAGACTGAGGAGGGGGCCTTTGCCCACGTGGATGATGACTGGAAATACGACACCCATCCAGACCTTTCCCAATGCGCAGATGTTACCGTGTGGGAAGAAGACGTGACACCCCAAGAGCTCTACCCATGAGAAGAAGTGAGAGTCCAACAACATTCCCAACGGGGAGCCAGAAGACACCGAGAGCTCTACGAATTTGAAGAAGATGGGAGAGTCCGAGAACTTTCCCAGTGGGGGGATGGGAGACACCCAGAGCTGTACCAACAGCCTGGGGCCTCCATGGGCAGCAAGAGCTTTCTGTCCTGGCACCTTTTGTGTGGGAAGAATCTTCATCCGTATGCAATTTTGAGATTAGGGCTGGCTTTCGGGAGGCAGGTCTGAAAACAGGAAACAGCAGCCCTTATCCCCAGGAAAGAAAGACTGGAACCTTTGCTTTTTGGTGCAGTTGGTGGGCAAGCCTGGGGACTCTATGGGTAGCAAGAGCTTTCTGTGCTGGCACCTTTGGTGTGGGAGGAATCTTCATCCATATGCAATTTTGGGAGTCAGGCTGCCTGTTGTGAGGCTGGTCTGAAAACAGGAAACAGCAACCCTTATCCCTAGGAAAGAAGACTGGAAGCTTTGGCTTTGTGTTGTAGTTATTGTGTCAGCCTGGGCACTCCATGAGCAGCAAGAGCTTTCTGTGCTGGCACCCTTGGTGTGGGAGGAATCTTCGTCCATATGAATTTGAGAGTCGGGCTGGCATTTGGGAGGCAGGGCTGAAAACAGGTAAAAGCCCTTATCTCCAGGAAAGAAAGCCTGCAAGCTTTGGCTTGGTGGTTCAGTTGGTGGGCCAGCCTGGAGACTACATTGGCAGGAAGAGCTTTCTGTGCTGGCACCCTTGGTGTGGGAGGAATCTTTGTTTGTATGCAATTTTGTGAGTCGGACTGCCAGCTGGGAGGCACATCTGAAAACAGGAAACAACAGCCCTTATCCCCAGGAAAGAAGGCCTGCAAGCTTTCGCTTGGTAATTCAGTTGGTTTGTCAGCCTGGGTACTCTATTGGCAGCAAGAGCTTTCTGTGCTGGCACCTTTGGTGTGGGAGGAATCTTCGTCCGTATGCAATTTTGGGAGTCAGGCTGGCAGTTGGGAGGCAGATCTGAAAAATTAAACAACAGCCATTTCGCCAGGCATAAAGACCGGAAGCTTTGACTTTCTGGTGTACTTCTTGGGTCAGCCTGGGCACTCTATTGGCAGCAAGAGCTTTCTGTGTTGGCACCTTTGGTGTGGGAGGAATCTTTGTATGCAATTTTCGGAGTCGGGCTGGCAGTTGGGAGGCAGGGCTGAAACAGGAAACAACAGCCCTTATCGCCAGGAAAGAAAGACTGGAAGCACTGGCCTTTTGATGCAGTTGCTGTGTCAGCCTGGGGACTCCATGGGCAGCAAGAGCTTTCTGTGCTGGCACCTTTGCTGTGGGAGGAATCTTCGTCCGTATGCAATTTTGGGAGTTGGGCTGGCTTTCGGGAGGCAGGGCTGAAAACAGGAAACAACAACCCTTATCCCCAGGCAAGAAAGCCTGGAAGCTTTGGCTTTGTGGTGCACTTGGTGGGCCAGGCTTGGCACTCTATGGGCAGCAAGAGCTTTCTGTGCTGGCACCTGTGCTGTGGGAGGAATCTTCGTCCGTATTCAATTCTGGGATTCGGGCTGGCATTTGGGAGGTAAGTCTGAAAAATGAAACAACAGTCATTACTCCAGGCAAGAAAGACTGGAAGCTTTGGCTTTCTGGTGTACTCGGTGGGTCAGCCTGGGCACTCTATGGGCAGCAAGAGCATTCTGTGCTGGCACCTTGTTCTGGGAGTAATCTTTGTTCATGTGCAATTTTGGGAATAGGGCTGTCAGTTAGGAGGCAGGTCTGAAAACAGGAAATAACAGCCCTTATCGCCAGGAAAGAAATCCTGGAAGATTTGGCTTTGTGGTTCAGTTGGTTTGTCAGCTTGGGCACTCCATGGGCAGCAAGAGTTTTCTGTGCAGGCACCTTTGGTCTGGGAGGAATCTTCGTCTGTATGCAATTTTGGGAGTCGGGCTGGCAGTTGTGAGGCAGGGCTGAAAACGGGAGAACCCTGATTCTAAGTCTGAGGAGAGACAGAAACCAGGAGACTTTGAAGTTCAACTGATGTTTCTACAGTCTCCCAGCTTTCCTCACATTAATGAAAATTGGCTCATGAGGATAATGAAGATGCAGCTTCTGCTACGGGGAATTCTAAGCATTCTGGGGTCGGTAAGACAACCTGGTAAGTAACACTTGAGTGAATGGGGGGTTGTCTTGGGGGCTTGTTTCCTTTCTCTTTTCTGTCTCTCGGTTTCTCATTTTGTTTGTTACTCTCTTTGGAATAAATGTTGTTTTGTTCAGCTTTCAACTGTGTACTGGTTTCAGTTTTGGCAATCTCCCTGCTACACGCAGACATAACAAACAAATGACAGCATCAGCAGGTGCCTTTCCCTTCCTCTTTCCCTTCCCATTCCCACAGCCAACACACTATTTCACTTCTCACTTGAACAAAGCTCTTTTCTCCTTCAAGGCCCTCAAAGGCGCCAAGGCCACATAGGAGGCCACACACAAACAGTACTCCTCTTCCCACTTGACAACACCTTCCCCCTCACTGTTCTACAGGGAACACCATGAATCTGCTCGCAGAGGCCTCTCGTTTCCCATCAGCAGCTCAGCACAAGGAGCTAGAGGAGGTCAAGCCTTAGGCCACAACAGCTGACAGCGAGGAAACTTTGGGAGCAAACTAATGCTGCTAACACGGACCCAGCTGAATCCAGCACACGATCACAGAATCCAAGAGTCCTTCAGCTTGGAAGAGACCTCCAAGCCCATTGAGTCTTGTGCAGCCTCTCCCCAACCATCTGCAGGGGCTGGATGATGCTTTGCACAAGCACCAAAAGGAATACTGTGAAAGCCATGGCCTGCTGGAGGACACAGAGAAGGGCTTGGCTGGGGCTGGGAAGAAGGGAGCTGGCGCTGGAGGAGCGGGGATGGGAG